AGACTGGCATATCTAATGCACTTGATGGCAGTGAGGACAACTTGGTGTACGAAGATCTCGAGGCAGACGACGAGGCAATCGGAGAAGAGATCGCCGAGATATTTTATAGCGACAATGAAGACGATGACGAGTTCTTTGGATTTTAGCCAAATCTCCGTGGTTCTCCACATACAAACCAAACGGCCCTTTTCAGGGCCACCACATCCTCCAAAAAGAGTTATACCGCTATCATGTGTGTGTGTGTGTTTGTATGTTATATAGTATTTATTGAATGGTTTGTATCTTGAGTAAATATTTATTGAATATCACTGAAAATTGCCCTTGATTTAAACATTTGTAGCTCCATGATTTAAAGTAAAAACTTCATACATTGTTGCAGTTTGGAATTTGCGTGCATCTCATTAGCATATCATTAACTAATCTGCATATTTCGCGTGCAGGCACTTTAAGATTTTAGACAATGCTTCAATAGAAGCCGCACCCGGACTTCACCACTTTTCCTGGGGAGGGCAGCCATTTTCTTTTTAATAGAAGCCGCGGCTTCTATTACGAATTTTACGGTACCAAGTTTGAACGAAATCCATCCATAAATGCCAGAAATGCTTGATATTTGATGATTTTTTTAGCACAAAAATGGCCACCATTTGGCAATTTTGAATAGGAACCAATATATCTGTCTATCTATGACATGATGTATAATGAATATTTAAAATTTGAACATAATCAGTGAAAGCAAGTCAGAGATATGGCACGAGAACCACATTCATTAAAACAATGGACCATTTTGAATCTTATCAGAAAAACAAAATTATTTGCATCAAGGTTCCATAATGTCTAATGTATATACTAAGTTTGAACAAAATCCATCTGTAAACAGCCGAGAAATGCTTGATTTTTAGGATTTTTTAGCACAAAAATGGCTGCCATTTGGCCATCTTGAATCAGATCGTAAAACAAAATGATGTGCATCAAGGTCCCATAATATCTAATGTATATACCAAGTTTGAACAAAATCCATCTGTAAACAGCCGAAAAATGCTTGATTTTTAGACTTTTTTAGCACAAAATGGCCGCCATTTGGCCATCTTGAATCAGATCGTAAAACAAAATGATGTGCATCAAGGTCATATAATGTATATACAAGGTTTGAACAAAATCCATCTGTAAACAGCTGAAAAATGTTTGATTTTGCTGATTTTTAGCACATTCAGCCATCTTGAATCAGATCGTGAAACAAATTGATGTGCATATGTATAATATCATGTATGATGTATGTGTGAAGTTTGATTGTGATTGGTCCAGGCATTTCTAAGATACAGGTCCAGACGCACGCACAGACGCACACATGCACGCACGGACGGACACACGGAGGTCAAAACATAAGTCCCCGTTTTCGAACTGCGTCCAAACGGGGACTAAAAAGCTAAGCCAACTTTTACAATCAGCAGCACCCTTTACAGTTACCACCAGTAAAACAAGTATAAGCAGCGCCCTCTACAGTTACCACCAGTAAATCAAGTATAAGCAGTGCCCTCTATAATTTTTATAAGGGGTATATGTTTAAAACTTTTGCAGGACCCCTGAAGGTCACATGTCTTGGCACTTTCTGAAGGTATTGTAGTCCTGCTAAAAGAAGCAGAAATTTCAAATACAGAATATAACCCCCCCCCCCCCCCCATTTATGCTAGCTATTTTTGAACTGCATAAGTGCATGCATAAATGACAAATTTTCATTGATAGTGAATTTGTACCCTCAGAAAGTATCAGTACCAGGATGTTTGACTTTTTGGGGGTCATGCAAAGTACCAGGATGTGTGACCTTTTGGGGTCATGCAAAGTACCAGGATGTGTGACCTTTTGGGGGCCATGCATAAGTCATATCTAAATGATGGATATAGTTATTTTCAACAGTTGGCTAAAAGTAACACCACACTACAATCAGTCTGTGTAGGATCAAATAAAAGACAGCAAGAGTCTTCCACAAATTAGTTCAGCTTAGTAGGGGTAGTGGACTATTTCTAATGAGTTTGGTCAGCCAATAAATCAGACACACTGCCCATTCAGACAAATGTTCTAATGAAATCAAAGAATTCACATACATGTACTTGTATTAACTTTAGAATGCATGTATCTATGGTAATCATACCATCTATACTTACCACCAAAACGATTTGACGTTGTCCTGAATTTTAACCCAACTTTCACCAAAATCTTCAGATTTCCACAACTTTAAAAAAAAACATAGATAAACTATTGTAACCTTACCATAAATAGTAGAAAAAAAGGAATGTTATGTGGAATATTGATAATTCAGGCTGTTAATTTACCTTAAGAATATTTTCATTTAAGGTCCTTTTTTGTATTATTTCAAATTTATGTGAAACAGAGCCAAACATATTTTTATTTAGGTCAATAAACAAGCAGCCTCTCTTTTTTATTACAAGTGTAGAAAAACACCCCCTGGGGTATCAAAATTGAGGGGTGGACCAGGGGGGGAGTGTAGAAAAACACCCCCTGGGGGTA